AGGAACTCAGACTTTTGATAGATGATGAACATTTGCAGAAAATTCAGCTGGCTATGGAGTTTGAAGAAGTGTCCAGAAATGAGGAAATTGCTGGAGGTGGAAATCCAGGGTACAATGGGTCAAAAATGGTGACAAAAACACCAAGTACTTCCACGGAAATAGCCAATGCTCACAGAAGATTCAACTCCATTGAAATCCTCAAAGTGGAGGGGGCTGAAGTTATTGATCCTGAAGAAATAAAAATTCCATAGTGAGGTTCTATTAGGCCCTGATGGATTCCAATGTCATTCTTCATTGCTTTATGGGAAATGTTGAAGTCAGATATACTCCTCACCCTATGGTGTTGGCCACTTGCCAGATTCAGAAAGGGGACTTCCCCATGCCTTGTCACTTGGTCATCAACTCTAGGGGCTAATTTATATGCAAAATATGGTCACGAGAATCCATTTTGTCTCCGTAAAATAAGGTATTTTATGTATATATGTTTTAAAATTGGTATAATATAATATTCTGGCACCCACTCTACAAGAAGGCCAAAAAGTGCACTTAGTTGGATGTTGAGTTATTCACCATGAGGACTAGGGATCAATTCCCACTTAACACCTTGTTTCCTTTTTTTTTAGTGGTGCACCCATGCTCAAGAAATTCTAGGTTCGCCTCTGAATTGTCAAAGCATAAAAGGTTTTTTTTTTTTTGATTTGCACCGGGTGTCCGAGTCTCTTTGAGCCCCGACTAATCCCGGGGGTGCACAGGCCCTCGGCAAGGAGTTTCCCGCAAGTGCACCACGGTTAAAGCATAAAAGGTTTTGAGGGCTAGGTATCAGTTCACACTTCCTAATTTTTTCTCAGTGGTGCACCCATGATCTAGAAATCCTAGATTCGCCCCTGAATTTAACTCTTTATCTCCTACAAAAACTGATTTCGACACACCTTTCATCAGAATAGGGTGAGTCTCTTACTATCTCCAAAACACTGTGAAACTTCTCCAAAATAGCGATTAGGGTTCTGGTTGAAATTGCCTTCATCTGGCCCAGTGACTTTCATCACCAGAGGGCTTTCACACCATATCTGCATTTCAAAGCTCTGCTCGATCTCAACACTACTCGGATTCTTCTCCAGAGAACCTTTTTACCTTAATTCTGGCCTATTTCAGGTGATTTTTGGGAAGAGTATCTTCTTCCGTTTCTATCCCTCCACATTTCCCCCCTATTTCCTTGATAAGGTGGTTTTATGCAGGTGGCATCCTCAAGCTGAAATTTAATGTGGTCTATTTCCTAGGGATTGACGTAGTGTTTTTTTGTTTGGAGCAAAATTTACTGAAATTTTCTTTCAGAAAATTAAAAGAAAAAATAAAAGCCTATCATAGTTTGGAAAGAGTAATATGGACTGACGACCTAGTACTTTTTGTATCTCATGGAGTTTGCACATAAAGGAAGCAATACATACATAAAGTTGTCCTTGATTACAAACAACAATTATATATGGAAAAGCCTGCATTGAGAAGAAATATTTGAAATAAAAATCATGTCAATCTAGTCCAGAAATCACAAAAATCACTAATTCTGATCCAAAAGTACTATTTAATTGTCTAATTCAAATTAATGAATAAATTTTGTCATGCTACATTTTAAATTTACTATTTACAATCACTAATATATCATTTTGTCAAGTAGATTCAATTTTTTTCAGAACAGTGGTGTCCTGGCCAGTTTCACATGCCTACACTATTCTACTAGATACCTGCTACCTTCCCCTGGTGCAGATATCAAGTCAATCTCCCCCCACCAAGGCTTTGACATATGGGAAGAAATCACTAAAAGCTGTCTCCCTTGGTTTTCATCCCACTTTATTGCCGTCGACCTCGAGGCCCATGACCTTTGGTGCTTTGCCTGTTTGTTAGTTTATATTCATTATTTCATGCTACCCCTCATCAGGTGGGCATCTTGGTGCACGACTTGGGTCTATTAAGTGTTTTCTTAAACCTAAGTGCTCGATGTACACTGCACTTACCTTGAAGGTAACGTCTCTGTAATTAAGTCCCAGCTTTTTAACAACATTGTGGCATGCACCACAGGTGTGAACTTATGTCCAAAGTTTATCCCCAACTCATTTGTGAATTTCATGGTCTAGTCAAATCCCACACCTTTCATGCTCGCATTCGGCAACTCCACTTTCGTCTGTGCTGGTTTACAGTAGAAACAGGAATTAAACTAGAACTGTTATTGTTATCTATAAAACTTCATATAGATCCTATGATTTCTTTCTAGTCTTACCATTCAACGTCTTTCAACACACTTTCACATGTTTTGCAGCATTTTTCATTGCTGCTACCTTAATGCTGTTTAGTGAGATCATGTGTGGTGAGCGTATTGCATTTGATCTGCACATCCCATATTTCTTTATCTTCTTTAATTTTTCATGTGCAATTAGACCTTCTGATCTGCATTTCTTACTACTGTGTAATCGGTGGTTGTGCCTGTCGGTGCTCATTCTACTCGTCTCAGGACTCTGGTTCTTTACCCTGATGTTATCAGCTAATATAATCACATAATAAACAAAAATGGGTGAAAACTACTCAAGCATGCTCATTTGCTATTCCAGCGTACCCTGTGGACTGCTCTTATATGTAAAGGTTTATACATTTGGTGCAGGCGGAATCAGTGGATAATTTTCTACAGTCATTGGGTCTTGAGAAGTATGCTATTACATTTCAAGCTGAAGAAGTATGTAAATCACTGCTGTTCTTTCCTTCTTAATTTAGTTTGAAGTCCTGCAGCATTCACCTTTCCCTGTTCTTTTCTTGCAGGTTGATATGGCTGCTCTTGTGCACATGACAGATGAAGATCTCAAAAGCTATAGGAATACCAATGGTAAGTATCATAATTTTGTATGAGAATTCATTTGAAGATTGTGACTTTCTGTTTTTCATTTGAAGGCAGTGGTCTTTTCTATTACGTGCTGATTGAAAGCTTTATTCCGTTTTGGTTGTTTCAGGGTCCAAGGAAGAAGATAATATTAGCACTGGAGACTAGAATCTGATAATTGGGGATAATCTTCCTTTGCTGGGGTTTTTCAATGGTCTACCATCCAACTAGTCAGAAGGCGGCTTGTGTTTTAACTGTACAAGTCTCTTTCTGGGATTTATTTCTTTTAAGTGTTTTCTTTTTCAATTTTTGGGTTTTATCAAAGTCAAGTGTGGTTAATTAGAGCTCTCAACATTTAATGATGAGCTAACCCTTGAAGGGCATATAATTTAATGGCTTTGTTGGTTGCTTTGCTTGTAACTTGGAAACCAAATTTTGCTGTTTCATCTCTCATCGAGCTTTACATTTTAGTTTTGTATCACTATTATCTCTTCACTTCTCCAAAAGATAAATTTATATATTATTTTACTGTGAAGTCTATGTTTTCCTGTCAAAAAAATCACATAAATATAATTTTTAATTACACAACACAATAAATTAATTTGGGCACATTTTCTTTTGCTGAATTTTATACAAAAAAAAAAATACAATTTGAGAAATTCAAATTAAATGTCCAAACAAAATTTCAATTTCAAATTAATTTGATTTGAAATTATGATTCTATATCACATCCAAATGAGCCCTTAGTGTTGTTTGATGCTCCTTAATTGAATAGTTGAGTCATTTTTCATTTTTTAAATTAATTTAATTGTTCGGTTTTCAAGACTAGATTTAGAGTGTTCTTCCAATTTTACCCTTTATTAGTTAATAATGGAATTAGTGGTTAATTACTATTTAGTTATTTTAATCAGAAATTTGACAATAATTAATAAAGGTAAAAATGGAAAACTATGTTCAATTTATGTCTTAATCTACTTTTCTTAAAGGATGTGAAACACCTAAAAAATTCAATTAATATGGAATGGAGGGAGTAATTACTATCAAATCTATGTTTTTTAGGTTGGTTAATTTGTAAGTGCATGTACGTAAGCGACTTTGGTTACTTTGATGTGTTCTATGAACACATTTAAGCAAATGAATTGATTCAAATTAACATAATAAATAGAGACAAATTTGAAATTTAAACTTTATGAGTTGAATGGTCAAGGATCTTAGCATTGAGCTAATTGTATTTTTAAAGTTATGAATTTAGATATCTCATTTGTTGCAATTTTAATAAATTCTTATTTATGAAGTTTTTTCTTCACATAAAAAATATTAGATTCAAGATAAATCCGACGTCCCAACTCTACTTTTGGCTCTAACAGGAATGTTCCGCTTTAGGGTTCAAGTGTTGTCTATTAAAAGTAATCTTATCTCATATATTTTAAATTTAAAACGTATAATTAAAGATATAAGATACTTATCGATCACCTACCACCAAAAATGATAGCAATACTTCAAATATATGAAGTAGAAAACTTACGCAATAAATATTTTTTTAGCAATTAGAATCGATTTAGGGAACTTCTAAAATTTACGTATTTTAAAACGTGTTTTCGAATTATTTATAGTTATAGCAGTTTGTGTTTAAGTAAAGATATTTAAGTTCTTTTATTAGTATTAGAGTAGTAGTTTGCGTTTATTCAAAATTTTCCCAAAAAAAAGAACTTGAGAAAAACAAATTTACGTAAAAAATATGTACAAATTTACATTATGATAAATTTAATCATAATTTTTAGTTCTTTATTACTCTTAGAGATTTTAGTTAAGTAGTAAAATTATATTTAACAAAAACATTTCATCTTTTGTTTGAGATTCACTCCCATCATAGGATAAAATATGTGTTTATCAAAATATTTATTACTCCCTCTATTGCTTTTACTTGCCACTTATTTCTAAGATAGACTTTTATTTTTACTTGTCACTTTTGACCTATCAAGAAAAGACAATTATTTTTTTCCATGTTTTACCCTCGACATTAAATACTTATTCTACATATCAAAGACCTAATACTAAACAACATTTAATAGGAATAGTTTGATAAAATACATATATCAATAATTGTTTTCTTAAGGGGTGTACCAAGTCAAACAACGACAAGTAAAAATAAACGGAGAGAGTATTATTTAATTATAATTAAATAATATATGCTTATTTTATTTTTAACTATTAAAAGTTATTTTATTTAGTGTACATCACAAATGTAAATGTAGATAAATATTGTGGTCCTATACTACGTTCAATTAAAAAAAAATATAAAAATAAATTAAAACGAAGAAAATATAATCAATTATATGGCATGGCAGTTGGTCAAGATAAGTGATAAGTGACAGTTTATCAATCTCCAATACATTCAATTCTTATATTATAAATATAACCCAATGTTTGCATCAATTTCTTCATCCTTTAATTAATATAACTAAGCTTTGAAGAAAAAAAAATGATGGGTTCCAAGGCATTTTTATTTCTTGGCATTTTTTTGGCAATCTTTTCAATGATAAGCTTTGAGGTTGTAGCTAGAGAGTTGGCTGAGACCCGTAAGATTACTTTTTCCTTTCACTATTTATTTCTTTGAAATATTGGATTTCTTATCTAATTATTTGATATTTATATATATATGAATGTAATGCTAATTTTTAAATTTCACATTTGATATTTGTAGCAATGAAATTGGATTATAAGAATGATGTACACGATGATGGATATAATGACATTGACGGATATCTAGGTGATAGACGTGGCGAATATAAAAATGGATATAAATTTCCTGGTGACGGATATTATCCTCCACATGGTAGTGGATATAAACCCCCATATGGTGATTATAACAACGCATATAAATCTCCACATGGTGAATATAACAACGGATATAAATATCTTGGGTGGGGATATAACACTCCACGTGACGGATATAATTCTCCCGGTGATGAATATAAGCCCCCACATGGTGAATATAACAATGGATATAAATCTCCTGGTGGTGAATATAAACCTCCACATGATGAATATAACAATGGATATAAGCCTCCAAGTGGCGAATATAAGCCCCCACATGGTGAATATAACAATGGATATAAATCTCCTGGTGGTGAATATGAACCTCTACATGATGAATATAACAATGGATATAAGCCTCCAAGTGGCGAATATAAGCCCCCACATGGTGAATATAATGGATATAAACAACATGGTGATGGATATAAATCTCCTGGTGGTGAATATGAATCTCCACATGATGAATATAACAATGGATATAAGCCTTCAAGTGGCGAATATAAGCCCCCACCAGTGGCGGATCCAGAAATTTTATATTATGGGTGCTCAGCGTTTTTAGCTCAAAAATTACTACTTAAGATGGGTGCTCAATTAATACATTTCAATGAAATACTAATTTTTTATACATAAATATTACTGTTTGTCACAAAAGGCAGTGGGTGCTTAAGCACCCATTATGCACAAGGTAGATCCTCCACTGGCCCCCATATGACGGATACAACCCTCCAAGTGACGAACACAATCCCCCACATGACAAGTATAAACCCCCGTTTGGCGAATATAACCCTCCAGGTGGAGGCCATGAATAAGTCACTAGCCAATTGCCTCACAACCAATCTATCATGTAATATTACAAAATCGTTGAGCATATATAGTGGCAAGATATATAATAATAATAGTCTTGCTACTCTAAACCTTGCAATAAAAATGGTATGAATAAAACGTCTTCAGTTCATAAGTATGGTTGGTCATGTAATATTTTCTTATACAATATAATACACTATATTGTGATAACATATTTTCATAATGCATGTTTTCTTTTAATATGTTGTACGTTCATAATGCATATTTTTTTAGTATGTTGTACGTTGTTGATGATGAACATATGTTTCTTCTTATTTCATAACTTATTATTAAACTACTCTCCCATCCCTAATTATATGATGCTTTTTGCTTCTTGAAATCTTAAGTATGTAAACCTTAACCAACTAACTTTTTAAAATATATTTTTTTCATCATTTGACGTGAGAAGACTAGTAATTTATAGTACATTGGACGAACGAATATACTTCCCCTCCTCCAACCCCTCCGAATTCAGAATACAATCTACCCTAATAAGATGAAAAGACAAGAAATTATAAGAGCCCTCATGTTTTTTTAGATTGTGTTGGAATTGTTGGGAAATGAAACTAATTAAACTGATAATTTGTTGTTCAATGATAATTGTGATGCATCAGATGATGAATTTTTTTAAATTTTACATCGTGATGAAAGAGAAACAAATTATGTATTGGAAGAAGAGAGAATCGTAAAGTTTGTAAAACAATTTGGGAGAAAGTGAAAGTCAAGGAAATATCATCAACAATCATGATTTCACACGTACATACTTTTTTTTTAAAATTGTGTTTTGTATGAGTTTTACTGCTATATTTGAAAAACAGGTAAACTATTGTTATATAGGTGTTATTTTATTTTTTAAATGGTATACTTGTGTTTTTTTTCCCATTTTCCCAACTAAATAAAACTACACTCTCACATATCGTCTCCCGTATTTACCTTGTTTGGATGGTTGTTATCATTGTATTGTATTGTATTTTTAATTTAAATACAATGTTTGTTTTGATGGTTACTTAAATTCTATTGTATCATATTGTATTGTTTAAACTCATAGTTAGGTAACGAAGAAAAGACCCATTTTATGTAACGATCGATTTGGTGTGATTACATTGTTACCTCACTATTTTCTTTTCATTTAGTCTTTATTTATTATTTAACTAGTCCTGGGCACGTGTGTTGCACGTGTGTCTCATGCTAAATTGTGTGGAGTTGTATAACGATATATGATGTAATTCTCAAAAGGGAATTACAATAAAATGCGGAAATCGAAAGACAAGAAATTAAAGATAACTAGATATTCACACAAAGAGGAAATCAAAAGCAACGTAAGGGTATATTAAACCCAAAGACCTTAGTCGATAAATCCTACAATAGCACCTAACTCTTACGAAGACTACCATTTTTCGTAGCGGAACTGGTAGTTGGGGGATTCATGAAAGTGGTAGTGTGGTAGGTGGTAGTGTGGTAGGTGCGTATTTTATTTTAAAGATTTTATTGTAGTATTCTTTTGCTAAGTGTCTTAATCTTGATATCCTATTTATTGTAATATTCTTCCGATAGTTGTTTTAATCTGAATATTTTTTTAATATTATTTATGATGTATTCTAGATATAACATATCTTCGGTTCTTTGGTACATATATAAATTTTCCTCCATTAATTGTTCTAAGAGTTTTATATCTTCCATAGATTTTATCCAATATTGTAAATATTCGTAGTTCATTTTAATCTGAATTTATTTCTAAATCATACCATTCTATTCTTTCGAAGTCTAAATCATGTAGGTCTATTTCATACCATTCTTGATTTAATATATCTTCTGATTCGT